AACGATCCAAGATCGAGACTTATCCGACACTATTCCGATGATATCCCGGACGTCAGTCTGAACGAGATTAGAATGGCTTTCCAGCACCTTAAAAATGGCAAGGCCCCAGGCAAGGATAGAATTACAGCGGAGCTTCTGAAAGCGGGTGGAAAACTGGTACTTGTACCGGAGGCGTGGAACAGAAGTGGGGTGGACTTATTCTTCAAGAAAGGTGACAACGCTCTCTTGAAGAACTACCGACCGATTTCCCTTCTGAGCCGCGTCTACGTGCTGTTTTCGAGAGTCATTACGAATCGTCTCGCGCGCAGAGTTGACGACTTCCAGCCTCCCGAACAAGCCGGTTTCCGAAAGGGCTTTAGCACCATAGACCACATACATACCCTTCGGCAAATTATACAGAAGTCCGAGGAGTACAATTTGCCACTATATCTGGCGTATGTGGACTATGAGAAAGCCTTTGATTCCGTCGAAATTTGGGCGATGCTGCAGTCCCTTCAGTGATGCCAAGTTGACTGTCGGTATATCGAAGTGCTGAAGTGCTTGTACAGTAGTGCTAAGATAACTATCCGAGTACAGAACCAGAATACTAAACCTATCCAATTGCAGAGAGGTGTAAGACAGTGTAACGTGATATCCACGAAACTCTTCACCGCTGCATTGGAAGACGTTTTCAAGCTTCTGGACTGGAAAGGATACGGTATTAACATCAATGGCATCATCACTCACCTTCGATTTGCCGACTATGTAGTCCTTATGGCAGAATCGCTGGAGGACCTAAGCACTATGCTCAATGACCTCAATAGTGTTTCCCAACGGATAGATCTTAAGATGAACATAGTTGATCGTAGTTGTTGGGAGCACTAAGCTCGAAGTTGTTGACGAGTATATAGCCCAACGGATTAGTAAGCTGAAGTGGCAATGGGCCGGCCATATAGCTCGAAGAACCAACAGCCGATGGGGAAAAAAGGTTCTCGAGTGGCGGCCTCGTACTGGCGGACGAAGTGTAGGGCGACCCCCCACTAGGTGGAGTGACGAACTGGTAAGATATGCAGGAAGTCAATGAATGCAGGTGGCTCAGGATCGTGCTTTGTGGCATTTCTTGGGGGAGGCCTATGTTCAGCAGTGAACTTGTGAAGGGCTGTAATGATGATGATGATGAATGATGATACTACCTAACAGAATGCTTGAGTGTTAACATTGCACTTTCAGTGGCGAGACTGTTTTTAAAGCCAAGCTGAGCATCATGTAATTTTAGATATCCACTGAGATGCCGCTCAAGTAGACTGTCAAGTGCCTTAGCCATAGTAGTAGCTAATGAGATGGGCCTATAGTTCTCTTTGTCGGACATATCTCCAGTTTTATTTTTTACAATAGGCATAACTATCGTTCTCATCAGCTGCTCAGGAAGATAGGAATGTCTAATACAAAGGGTGTAGAAAGTAGTTAAAAGCCCGGAGAGATAAGGTCCTGCGTGCAGAAGATGCTCAATGCTGAGGCCGTGATGCCCTGGCGATTTGCCTCTCGTCATGTTTTTAATTACATCAAAAACATCATTTCGCGCAAAACTAATTGGCACACCCGTTTGGCAGTCCTCAACAGAACTAAAGATTTTACCCAAAAATACTCTTTAAATAAATTTGCTATCTCTCCTGGCTCATTTACACCCTCAATAATCACCGGGATACTCGGCTTAGGATTCACCTTATTTGTTTGCTTCTAAAAATTTATAAAGTCTTTCTTTTTATGCTTTTGAACTAACGTGTCCATTTTAATCTGGTATTCATGATTTTGACAAAATTTTAATTTCTGTTTAAATAACTTATTTGATTCATACATTTCTTTATACAATTTACCACTAATAGGTTTGCCATGCCATACCTAATTTATAAATTTCTACCTAGTATCCCGGTGAGCATCCTTGACATGTCTATTCCAGCCAACAATACGAACGCCCTTCCTACACTTTCCCTTATTATAACCTGATACAGCGGCCTCTGATAATGATGTCACAATTTTATTATACATTGTATCTATAGATTTTCTATGATCAAGGTTAAAACACATTATATCACAGCATGGAATATATTCATTAAAAGTATTAATATCTCTCAGTTTTTTAAACAAAGATCATGGTATGTTGAAATTTGTCCTTCGTCTCTTTTTCCCAAAATACCTTATTTATGCTTATCCTATTTTGCAATTCAAATTTAGGTCTGATGATCGAGAGATCACACTATATATCCAGTGGGAAGTGATCTGACCAGTACATCTCATTGTATATATCCACACCGACCACAACATTCCAGGCGGCATTGGTGACCACACAAAGATCTAGCGAGCGTCTGCTACCGTGCGCCTCACTTATATTATTAAGTATAGGTATCAGAGTTTTCACCTAATTTTGACATACCAGCACATAACCAATTTTGATCAAAACTAAAAGTAAGTAATTCCTTACAGAATAATTTTCCCGGATGTGATTAAAGTCCCCTAAAATAAAAACAGATTCTACATTTTTTGATTCTCAACAATCACAGCAATTTTACTCAAACTGTCACTAAATTCTAACAAATTTTTGAAACGATCCGGTGGCATGTAAACACTAAATATTAGTAAAGGACTGTTCGCTTCATTCACTTTAATTCCACTACAAAATCTACCGTTCGCTCAACTGTATAAGATTCCTGCCGATGTATCAATCGCCGATTTACCAAAGAAACCAAAATCCTGATTTATATTGCCGAGACTCGGTATTTCGTGAGGAAGTAGTTTATTAATTATACCTATCTTTTATCTGTAATAACTAGTTTAAAATTAACCTTATATCAATGTAAAAGGTACTTATGTCACATGTTAAAATAGCACGCTGTGTTTACCTGTAACTGATTGTGCATTTAGCTCATAATAGTTTATTACAGTGTAACTAATTTAAGTTTCTGTAATGTAACAGTCGTTGGTAGACCAAATAAATAAATAAATAAAAGTAGTTAGGCCTCCTGTAATGCTATAATATCAGTCGTTTTACATAGTGACTAAACACATTCTACGGATCTTTTCAACGATTTACAGTTAAAGCTCAAAAACACACCATTCAACCGACTGCCTCGAATTTTGCGATCGCTTTATTACTACGTCTGTTCACGCGCTTGCGCTGTGGTAGACTGATGACGTACCTTCCCTTGTAGGAGATAACCATGATAAAGTATTATTTGCTGATGATTCTTCCTTGATTTTAAGCTTAAACGTCTATCATTTAAATGTGACGAAGCAAATAATGCTGTACCAAAATTAGTGCATTGGTTTAATGTTAATAATCTGCATTCAAACGGCAATAAAACCAAATGTATTAAAGTTATAACAAGGTATGTTAAAATCTGAATACTGATGTATTTTTAAATGGGGAAGAACTGAGTCCTGTTGAATCCTCTGTTTCTCTTGGCATCACTCTCGATGCAAAGCTTCAATGAGGCCCCCATATATCTAAATTAGCAAGCAGACTAAGCGTAATGTAGGGTAAGCTTATTGTTAGTATAAGGAAGGTAGTTTGTGACCTCCCTCTCTCGCAATAAATGGTTGAACTGTACGGACGTGTTTTCCGTTGTCTCACTGGCGACGAGGATTTTAATGGTGAAAATCGGCGAAAAATACGTGAAAATAGAAAATACGGAAAATATAGACTGCAAACAATCAGCGTGCAAAATGTCGGTCGGAAAGATTAGTGAGTTTGACGTGAAAACCGGTAACTGGACTGCTTACGTGGAGCGGCTAGAAATGTATTTTGTGGCAAATTCAGTGAAGGACGAAATTAAATTGCCTACCTTGATCGCGGCTATGGGTGAAAGTGCGTATGAACTGTTATCCACCCTCGCGAGTCCTAAGAAACCCGCGGAATTTACGTATTTGGATGCAGTTGTACTATTACGTAATCATTTGCAACCGAAACCATCTCCGATGGCGGAACGTTATCGTTTTAGGCAAAGAAGACAAACAGACAGTGAATCGATCAGTGATTACGTGGCGGCATTAAAGAAACTATCTAGACGTTGTGAATTCGGTGCAGTCCTACAGGACAATTTACGGGATCGGTTGGTGTGAGGACTTCGAAGTGATGTCATACGGCAGAGATTATTCGCGGAAGAAAAATTATTGTCCTATGACAAGGCAGTGATTTTAGCGGGATCGCTGGAGGCAGCGGAGCGGGACGCGGCACTCGTGGAGTCGGGCGCAGTGGTGACGTCATCGCAGGCCGCGGGGCAGCTGCGCGGCGAGGGCGGCGGCGGGGCAAACGGGGGGCTGAATGCCATGCGCGTCGGCCAGCGAGCTCGCCATACCCGGCACAGCGTAGTGGCGGGAGGCGGTGGCGGCGGCGTCGGCGCAGGCCGCGCGGATGTGCGCGGTTCGCTATGCGGAGCTTGCGGAGGGGTTGACCATGTTGCCAGCGAGTGCAAGTTCAGAACCTACATATGCAGCAAGTGTGGCGTGATGGGCCACCTACGACGCGTGTGTTTCACAAATAACCAGTCGCTGGCGCCGGGCGCCTACAACGGAAACGCGGCGAATGTACAGGGCTTTGGAAAGAAAAGTCGGAACAGCGGTCGCGGAGGACATAATCAGAGACTGAAAACAAATTATGTCAATGCAGACGTTGGGGCGGCATTGAGTGAGTACCACGAGGCACCCGAGGAAGAACCGGTGATGCAAATGTCGCTGTCACAGTACAAGCCGGTGAGTTTGTGTTTATTAGTGAGTGGACATAACTTAAACATGGAAATAGACACTGGCTCGGCGTTGTCGTGTATTAGTAAAACCACATATGAAGATACATTTAATCATTTACCATTATTACCATGTGATTTAATGTGACATATGGGCGGTCTAGCAAAGTTTTAGACTTATATGTTATTAATAACGATACTACTACTTTATTAGGCAGACAGTGGTTGTCAGAACTTGATATCAGCGTACCAAAATTTAATGTAAACAGGTTAAAAGAATCAGCCATGAATGTATCTCATGCCGTAAATGAATTGTTTTTCAGCTATGCTGAGATGTTCTACGGCGGGCTGGGGCGCTTCACGGGCGGGCGGGCTCGGCTGGCGGTGCGCGCGGACGCGGCCCCGGTGTTCTGCCGCGCGCGGCCGCTGCCCTACGCGCTGCGGGAGCGCGTGGACGCCGAGCTGGACGCCATGCTGCGCGCGGGCGTCATTGAGCCCGTCGAGTGCTCGGACTGGGCGACTCCTCTCGTTATTGTCAATAAATCGGATGGAGCTATTCGAATATGCGCGGATTACAAGGTAACCCTCAATCGTGTCTTATCTGTCGACAAGTACCCAGTGCCTAAAATTGACGACTTATTGTCGCAATTAGGGGGAAGTAAATTTTTCAGCAAAATAGACTTATCACAGGCATACAATCAGATCTAGTTTGACGATACCAAAAAGTACACAGTAATTAACACCCATCGCGGTTTGTTTATGTACAACAGACTTGTTTTCGGCTTAGCATCCAGTCCGCGAATTTTTCAAAGAATAATGGTTAACTTGTTAAAAGATATCGAGGGGGTTGTAGTATTTTTGGATGACGTTTTGATCGCTTCGGATACTATCGAAAACCATATACATACTTTACGTAAAGTGCTAGATAAATTGAATGAGTACGGTCTTAAATTAAAAAGGGAAAAATGTGAATTTTTTGTAGAAAAAGTGAAATATTTGGGTTATGTAATGAATAAGGAGGGAATCCACCCCGATCCTGACAAGATAGAATCGATTCTGTTGATGTCACTACCCAAAGATATTTTGGAACTTCGGTCATTTTTAGGAATGGTCAATTTTTGTAGCCGTTTCGTGACAAATTTGAGTACCATTTTACAGCCACTTTACGAACTACTAAAAAAAGACTCGACATAGAAATGGGGTAGATTAGAACAGCAGGCTTTCACTGTAGTTAAGAGACGTTTGAGTGACGCGGTCGCGGTGAGCCACTACGAGCCGGGCGCGCCGTTAGTGGTGGGTGACGTGTGATGCCAGCGCGCGCGGGCTCGGCGCCGTGCTGGCGCAGCGCGACGCGGCCGGCCGCGAGCGCCCCGTCATGTGTGTGTCGCGCGCGCTCACCGCCGCGGAATGCAACTACACTCAGATACAAAAAGAGGCGTTAGCTATTGTATTTGCTGTGAAAAAGTTTCACCAGTATATTTACGGGCGACGGTTTACATTGCGGACGGATCATAAACCGTTAGTCACAATATTCGGTCCACACAAAGGTATTCCTAGCATGACGGCCAGTAGATTACAGAGATGGGCTTTAATATTAACAGCTTACGATTTCAATATTGAATACGTCTCAACTAATGATAATGTGGCGGATGCATTGTCGCGAATGATTTCTACCCATAAAGAGAGTAGGTCGGAGGAAAATCGAGAATTTCCGGAAGAAACTTATTTACATTTCGCGTCAGAAGCCTTATTAATAGACAATAATAGTTTAAAGCGAGAAACCGCGAGGGACGCGATACTCAGGCGGGTCCTCGGTTATATACGGGACGGCTGGCCGCAAGATATCGAAATAAAAGATATCAAACCATACTTTCACAGAAAGAAAGAGTTATACGAGGAACTGGGGTGCGTCATGTGGGGTCACAGAGTAGTGGACCCTCTTAGTTGCAGGGAGGAAGTTCTCGCGGAGTTACATGAGGCTCACATGGGGATCACTAAGTTGAAACAGTTCGCTCGCAGCTACGTGTGGTGGCCGGGGATCGACGAGGCGGTGGAGGCCGTGTGCCGCGCCTGCTCGGTGTGCGCGCGCGCGGCGGACGCGTCGGAGCGACACGAGCCGCGCCCGTGGCTGTGGCCAGAGCGCCCGTGGTCGCGACTGCATCTCGATTATTTAGGGCCGATAGGGGGCGCTACTTACTTAGTCACCGTGGACGCTCATTCTAAATGGGTCGAAGTCACTGTTATGAGTTCCATTTCGGCAAAAAATTTAATAAGTAAATTAAGGGAAATGTGGGCTAGATTCGGTCTGCCAAGACAGATAGTGAGTGACAACGGTCCGCCATTTACTAGTCAGGAATTTCAGTTATTTCTTAAGGATAACGGTATAGAACACATATTTTCAGCACCCTATCACCCGGCTTCGAATGGCGCAGCTGAGAATGCGGTTAGAGTGGGCAAGCGGGTTATAAAGAAGGCACTAGTACAGGGGGTGAATATCGATATCGCGCTTAATAGGTGTCTACTCGTATATCGTAACACCGAACACTGTACTACCGGTGTGAGCCCCGCGAAATTATTACAAGGTCGTTCACTGCGCACACGCATCGACTGTCTGAAGCCGGAGCTGGAGCCCCGCGTGCGGGCGCGGCAGGCGTGCGCCGCGGGCGGCAGTCGCCGGCAGTTCGCGCCGGGAGACCGCGTATGGTACCGCGATTATCGTAACGCGGTTGTAAAATGGTTAAAAGGAGAAGTACACTCCAGACTAGGAGAAACGGACTATAATATTCTAAGGGCTGATAAAGTCTTTATTAATAGACATGTCGACCAGATAAGACCACCATCGGGGGAGCCGGATAGGGAAGGGGAAGACCGGGATGTTTCAGAAGGAGGAAGAGGTTCATTATCACGTTCCTATCTAGTGTATCCGAATAGCTCCTCTCCAGTGGTGGAGGAAGAGGCCAGTTCGAGTGGCAGATAGGCCGCATCCGGGTCCGCGCCCGCCGCGACGTCCCCGCGCCCCCCGCCCGCCCCGCAGCCGGCGCCCGCGGCTCCGAGCCCGGCGAGTGAGCGCCCCAACCCGCCTAGACTTCGTAGGGCCCCCCGACGTTATAGATTTGATTTTGATTAGTTGTAAGTTAGTTAAGTGATATGTGCTTTATTTTATATTAGTTTAAGTACGTTTAGAATAAGGGTGGAGGTGTAATGTAGGGTAAGCTTATTGTTAGTATAAGGAAGGTAGTTTGTGACCTCCCTCTCTCGCAATAAATGGTTAAACTGTACGGACGTGTTTTCTGTTGTCTCACTAAGCTGTGCAGCTTATGCTGTAATAAAGATTAGAGATCTCACCAATATCGAGAAAGCTAGTTTATTTTATTTCAGTTATTTCCATGGCATAATGTCTTATGAGATTTTGCTACGGGGAAACGCGGCTGATTAAGAAACTGGTTCTGTTTTGCAGAAGAGGGCCATAAGAGCTACTGACAACCTTAAACCGAGAGAGTCTCTTAGAGAAAAATATAAAAAAATAACTATATTAACTTTGGCCTCTCAGTTTATTTACGAAAATTTAATTTATGTTCACAAAAACAATGATAGTTTTGGTAAAAAAAGTGATATACACTCTACAAACACTTGGAACAAACACAAGCTAGTGATACCAGTCTCTCGACTCCACAGAGTTAGTAATTCATTCTTGGGGCAATGTATAGATACGCTATTACAACAAAGTCCAAGAAAATATACAAGGTGTCTCTATTACCAAATTTAAATATTTAATTAAACAAAAACTGTATAAAAAGGGTTATGTTCGCGCCGAACGCTAATTTCAGGAACTAACGTGAGAGGGCGCGCGCCTCGGTGCCATAACAGTTTTGACGTCGGCCGAGCGGTGGGTTGAGAACGCGTAAAGGCTAAGGAGTCATCTGTCAGCTGTGCTTGGGAAAGAACGCTGTCATTTTTGTCGGGAACTCGGAATAATTAGGCGCGGCCAGTAAATATACGGTCTAGGATTTGTGACGCGCATTCCTGCTGGAGAGCTTCCCAGGGACTCATTGTGTCTGACTCAGAATCTGCATAAGTGCATTCGGCAATATTAGCTAGTGCGGCCTTTGATATTCTAGAAATAACTGTTGCTACGCGAAATGGTAGTGACCTTTAATCCGGACACTCCGTGTTCGTTTTGTGCGTTAACCTTATAACAAACGAGAGTTAGTGGCTTCTGTAAATTAATTAATCGTACGATAGAGTTAATGGACTGTCATCAACATGACAGTCCATTAACACATGACTGGCCAAGGTTTACTCGGGTCAATCACCATCAGTCACACCCAGATACACATCACATCACCTTATTTCCCTTGCACTACACAACCACATGCAACCTGACCGACTCCGGAGGGACCAGTTGCCTTGGATATAGGTAAGTGAACTCCGTCTAACATTCTCCCGGTCGAATGGCCGTAGTATAGAACGCTCCCCCATATAGTTTAGTGTAATTAGAGATTTTCCACTTTGGCCTGGAGGAGGCCCGACCTACGTCTGCTCGTCAAAACTCAGCTGAATGGGCCCCTGAGGATTTGATCTTTAAGGGAGCAGCCGTAGGCCGTAACAGGTTATTATAATATAAATTAATACATAGTTGATAATAACCCCTGGAAATAAGGTGGTCGCTTCCAGGATATTTCTAAAATAAATTTTGTAAATAGTTTGCAATCATTTATACTGTAAAATTTATTTATAAAAAGTCCCGCTAAGTTTCTTGGTTGTTCTTTCCAGGACAGAGGATTTTTTGATGATGATTTGAACGACCAGTGGTAAAGAAAAAAAATTTCAATAAGAATTACATGTAATCAATATTTAATAAAAATTATTTTATTATATTATTCTATTCTATGAGGATTTTCTTACACCGCTACCACAAGGTAATTATAAGTCTATATAAGATTTATGGTTAATTGCCTCCATGATACAGGGGAAGGCTCTTGTGTTGGGTAACGTTTTCAAAGAGTAATTATTTATCTTGACACTTCATCTAATAATTTATTTTCATTAATTATTAATTTATACCATTTATCTGTTAATTTGGATGTTAATTTATTTCAATAATTGCTATTAAAACGAAACTCTTTCTTTATACATTGAATATTGCGAGCTTTAAATATCACTAAGACTCCGGAAATATCATAAATCCCGTTGTAAAACGCCGTCCTCTCCAGCTGCTTCGGTACTTACATGTAATTTATCGTCGACCGTCCTGATATTGACACAACTTTCGGGACTTGTCGTAATCGGCACGTGTCCCGCCTGCTTACATTTTCAACAAAGCATTATGAAATCCTCAGGGACCTTGAAATTTAATATTTTAATCGAAACCCCCCGGGATTTTAAGACATAGATTAAATTGAGAGAGTCAACTCTTATTTAAAAGGCCGACCACGCATCTGCTATTACCTTTTGTTGCAGTTGTTTATAGGCAGTGGTAATCACATACCATAGCCGTATGCTTGTCCCAATCCCCCCCCCCACGCCATATATAAAAAAATGTTTTTTAAATATACTTGGTAAAAGGCAACTTAATACTGGAAAGACAATCTCTGCCAGATAACCTTTATTAGTGTGGTGAAAGCTACGACTAAAGCCGCAAAAAAAGAACTAACTTATTTTTAAATATCATTTATAAAATAATACATTTTCATGTTTATATAAAGTTTCTTCTGTCCGCGTTTGTGTGTCTGAACTCCTCCTAAACGGCTGGACCGATTTTGATAATATATTGTGTGTGTGATTAAGTTGATTCGAATACGATTTAGATTCACAACTGAACCAGGTAGGTAACGCTATTGTCGTGATACAGAAACCGGGAAATCATCGGTGCAAAGCCGGGACGGATCGCTAGGCGGATCTCTATACTTAATGTGCATCATCAGATTATCGTTACAGTCCTTCACAATGCTACTGCATATAGGTCTTGCCTAAGTAGTACCACAAAGCAAGGTCATAATTCATATCTTTGTTTATAAAAATTACGTGTCACGTTGTTTATCCGCGATGGACTCCTAAGCTACTGAACTGATTTCAATAAAATTTTGCGTTCAGTTTGGTCTAACTTGAGAGAGAATAGTTTTTATCCCGATAAATGACTTTCCCGATAAATGATTAAAATTTCTGTCTGTCTGTTTGTTCTGACTAATCTCCGAAACGGCTGGACCTATTTTGGCCGAACTTTCACTGGCAGATAGCTGATGTTATAAGAATTAATATAAGCTACTTTTATTTTAGATAAAGAATTAGGGTCCCGCGTAAAAAATTAAAACCCATGAAATCCAATCGTAATAAATTACGCGCAGGCGAAGTCGCGGGGAACAGCTAGTTTTAAATAAATCAGTTTATCAGCACTCAGCGCGGTCGGTTTTGCTTATCTTAGCATTTTCCGTCTATATAATTTAGCACTGATTATTACAAAGTCATGGGGAAACACCCTACTATAGTTTTGTCTCACTCCGACCGAAATTCGATATTCAGACCTGGAACGTTCAGACCAGATTTTAACAGTGGTAGAGCCACGCAGCAGTGCAGGGCAGTGTCGCACGGATGGGCCGGCTCGAACTGGGGTGGTACCACGATCTCACAGAAAACCAGCGTGAAGTAGAGGTTTACCTCTGCGTTTCGCTTGGTGAGTGCAGGTGGCCGGAGGCCCTTTTTACTGAAAATGATGCATTCCATCTAAGTCCTCACAGGTGACAACGCATCTACATTTTGATTTGTAATAGAGGATAGATGTAGATGTCTATGGGCCGCAGCAACCATTTACCATCAGGTGGACTGTGTGCTCGTTTGTCACCCTTATCCTATAAAAAAAAACCAGTCACAATGTGTAGGTGGCCTGGCCTAGTTCACGGTTGTCCAGCAAATTTATTTATTTGGTTGAGCCAACGGTGTGGTAGTGATATAAGAATATCCATTACCTCATATCGTCCCGTGGGTATAGTAAAAGGTGACTGACGGAAACTAAACTTCTTCAGTTTCCATCAGCCACCTTTCCTTCGAAATGAACAGCATCATTTTATGATAACCACTCAAAATTAAAAAAACTGCTGTTGCCAACCCACCTATCAGGTGAGGCGATATGTCAAAATAATCCCCCCCCCCCCTCTTCTATGAGGTGCTATGTGGGGGACTATTTTCAGCGGTGTATAACACATACAGATTATTCGAACTGAGTGAGTTCAATTAATCTGTTTATTCCAGATATTGAAGTAGCTTAAACATGGCTCTTTTGTTGTATAGACCGAAGTAACAAATTGAATTCGATAGAATTTTCGTAGTTAAATTCAAATAAGCCAACTGTAGAAAATAAATTCAGATCACACTTTCGGTTGTTCCATTGTCTCGCACGTGAACGTGACCACTCTATACCACATTAACAATAAAATGTACAAATGTACACAAGTTAGTATTGTTGCCATTGTCTGGACTAGTTGAAGGGTCTATATTGTATAGTTAATTACATAGATTTTAGTCATTTTGAAGAGAAAAGTTCTTTAGAATCGTTGTGATTTGAAACTCCATAAAACCATAAAGCAATACTTAAAAGATATATTATACTAGCAAGGCCCGGGGCCTCCTTGCTGCAGAAGAAATAATTGTGGAAGTATCCTTTTAAATTTGGAAGAGTTATATTATTTAATTAAGAATGGTAATACATTCATTGAAATTGAATGATATAGGTATAACTTTCAAATAAATTTGCCGTAACGGCACGCGTGCCATCTACTGTAAGTAAATTTTAATATCCCTATTATCTTCACGCAAGTGCAAGTACTAAGTTAACAAAGTTTTACCACAAACTGATGAATGTTATGGCAGCGGATATAATACATTCATTGAAATTGAATGATATAGGTATAACTTTCAAATAAATTTGCCGTAACGGCACGCGTGCCATCTACTGTAAGTAAATTTTAATATCCCTATTATCTT